AGCCCAACAAATCCACACCGACTCTCACAGCATCCCACCCACACCCATCCCCCTATAACCCACCTAATCTACACATCCCTGAACACTACGGGCAATTTAGCATGGCCATTCCACCTAGCCTGCGCATCTTTGCATTGTAGGAGGAAACCCGAGCACCCAGAGGAAACCCACACAAACTCAGGGAGAATGTGCAAACTCTGAAAGAAATCACTGAAAGAAATTCTTCTTTTTATACTCTTTACTGATCAGCTTGAGTGGCTGGAGCACTATTTGAAGAGGAGGAAAGCATTTTTCTAGAGTCTGGCCAGTAGTCACATCTCAGTCAATACCCTCCATGAATACAATAACTGATCATTGATTCATATTCTACTGCTGTGTCTTTGCTGCACAAAAACTGAATGCAGTGTTTTCCTACACCCTGTCGTGCCCTGACACATACTGTTGTGGCACAATGATAATGTCCCTGCATCTGAGCCAAGGAGGCCTGGGTTCAAGTGTTACTTGCTTCAAAAGTGTGTAATAACCTCTGAAAAGGTTAATTTCAAGAAAAAATAGATAATCACTAGAAATAAAGAACGGGAGGAAAGAACATGAAATAAATGATCCTGAATATTTCACTCTGTTTCTTCTGAATTCAACCTGCAGCTGCTTTGGGTGTTTTTATCTGGTTAGATCACAGCTTGGAATTACCCAGCAAAAGTAGCAAATTAAAATGCATTATATTATTTTATACATCACAAAGTGAGAGTGGAAGGAGAAATTTAGAGAAAGATTACATTTCCTTTGGATATGCATTTCTAAACTGTAAAGTTTATAATTTATACGTATTTAAATCGTATATTTTGTATCCTTGGTTTTAAAATCAAGACTTATTGTATCACCTTCAAATTGGATTCATTCTTTTCTACAAACAGAAAACTGAGGTACCCATCACCTCCCTAAGTTTTCCGTTCTCCTCCAGCAAATAGACTTTAAAAATCTACCTCAGGCATCACCTTCTACTTTGCCTTGGCCCATCTCCTGCTCTTTCCAACCTTGATGCTCTCCTACACCTGCGGCCTTGAGTTTCTCGTTGATTTTGCACAAAGTTGCCACAGGAACCATTTGACAAATAATCCATGCACTCAGTCAAGTTTCTTTTCTCATTTGGCTTGTGGTTTGGAATTACCCATGACATCAAATTCCCCGTTGGTAGGCACAGAATAAGCACATGCTGAGGTTAAGAATCAAGTGGAGAATAATGTTCTCAGCTTGGGGCCAGACACGGTGGGGGAAACATGCTTGGAATGGCAGCAGTTTCAGAGGCACAAGTTTCATAACTTCTAACAATTTCTTCTATCATTTTCAAATTGCTGCTGGACCCTTATTCTTAATAGGTGGAGGCAGTGGGGTAATGGCAATGTCACTAGACGAGCAATCCATAACCCCAGGACAACATTCTTGCGAATATGGGTTCAAATCTCACCATGGCAGATGGTGAAAATTCAATTTAATAAATTCTGAATTAAAGAGCTGGCCTAATAGTGACATGTGACCAATGTTTTAAAAACCCATTTAGTTCAGTAATGTTCTTTAGGTAAGGAAATCTTACATGATCTGGCCTATACGTGACTCCAGACACTTACTCTTAACTGTCCTCTTGGAAATTAGGGATGGGTAATAAATGTTCACATCCTGTGACTAATGACAAAAAAAAAATTAAGGTAGGGGTAGAGATTCTGGGTAGATATTGAAGGCTGACAGGAAAGCGAAGTTTCCACTTCCATAGGTATTATCGCACTGAATAGGCTTAAGAGGCCAAATGACTTAGACTTGCTCTTCATTCCTATATTTTTATAGTATTTCAAACATTCTGGATCCTGATATTTGTAATTAACTGACCTGGCCTCAAACTATCATGGTCATCCGTTTCGCCATGGGGGAGGAAAATCAAAAACATTGAGGTTTGAAGAGAAGATGAAATAATAAAATGTAGTTCCACATTCAGCGAGATAGGCACATGTATGGCAAAAAAATTGTGAATACCTTCTCCAAATTTCACGAAGAAAGACCAGTTTTGTCTCATTAATGGCAGGCAGCTCCAAGTTTAAGGTTTATCTTAAATGCCACATCCAGCAGGAAATATTTTCATCATGCATTTCTAACAAATTGACTGACGTCTCTACTAACTAGTAATATTTGTAACTGTAACACAGACACAATACGTATATTAGAGAGAAAGGTGTTTTTTTTTCCACTGTGTATGGTCTATCTGGCTGTCAGAAAGTTAAGGTACACCAATTATATCAACACACCTGATGTACTTAATGAATATTCCCAGCGTCTCGACAACCTATTCACAATAACTTTGACCCACCACAAACAGGTCTTTAAGTAAAGTTTAAGCCAATTTAAAAGAATGTTTGGTGATTTTTTTTAAAGTTGTCAAATGGACTTGCATCCCTCAGTTTGCCTCCCACTCCGATTTTGATCCTGTATATCACAGCAAACCAAGAGTAAAATTGTTTCTGTTTTAAATGGACTTGATATAAATTTTAATAATTATTCTAATAATAATACATGTATTCCAGATAAGAATATGCATCTGATACGAGTTATGGAAGAAACTGATCCTGGTCATGTGCTTTTCCAACCACGGCTGTGTATTCCACACTCATTACTCACAACTAGGTGATTTCCAGAGTAATCTAATATACGCTATGTATTCAGTTACAAGATTAGTTAAATGTTGTTTTATTTTGAAAAAACATAAACAGCCTCTAAAACAGTTAATAGTCTACCCTCTATGCTTTTAAATTTGTCCTGTCAAAATGATAAAGGAGATTAAAATCACCAAGACTCCAGCTTTTGTTAATTTCTTCCTTCCATTCATTCTGTCCAGTTTTGCTTATGAGTACAAAATGTAATCAACACTTGCTGTTTTCAGAAAGTTACAGACAGTCGCATGGACTCAATGGCCTTCTTCTATGCTGTGATGCCTCTGACATCCCGAAGCTGATGGGAAAAAAGCTGAAATATTATTTCTAATAAAAACAGAAAGTGTGGGAGAATGTTTCAAGTCCAATATGATTTTTTGTCTCTGATATGTACAGTACTTAGACATTTTTCTAAGTGACAAGATTGCCCGACATTGCTCCAAATTCTGGGTGTCAGACCTAAAATGTTGACTCTGTTTTCTCTCCACTGATGTTGCCAGACCTGCTGAGTTTCTCCTGCACTTTCTGTTTTTATTTCAGATCCCTAACATCTATAGTACTTTGCCTTTATCTGAATTATCATTTGTTAAGCTGCTGCAGCAAACTCAAATTATGAAATGTTTTTCGTGTTAAATAAATGAAACTGTTTCCTGTAGGTCAGGAGTTATTAATCAGAAAACACAGATTTAGGGTAATTAATAAAAGAACAAAGATGAGAGGAAAATACTTCTTACTCAGTGAATTGCAGCAATCGGGAAGATGCTGCCTGAAAAGGTGGTGGAAAAAGATTCAAGAGTAACTTTGAAAGGTAATTGTAGAAATATTTGAAAATGTGGAACATTTGGAAGGATCCAGAGTTCCAGAACTAATTAAATTGCTCCTTGAAAGCATTCATGCAGGCATAATGGGCTGACCTGCCTTTGTCAATGCTGCATTATGCTAAGATTGAGTTAATTCCATCCCCTCACACTATGGATGTCTTCCTCAATACGTCCTTACACAGACATTTATTACCCATCACTATTATCCTCAACCCTTCTGGAAAAATAATTTTAAAATTAATTGAAATTTACAAAAGCTAAAAAGCAAAAAGATGTTAATTATTCAGTTTAATTCTTAACAAGTGTAATTTGAAAAGAAGTGCTGTTAGTTTACATCCTTTTGAAAGCTCAATTGTAGCACTTCCCTTGTATTGTCCTCTCTTATAATTAAATGTCAGCTTGATTCTTTTTGGTTCAGATCCCTCATTCCCAAAACTAATCGACTCTGGGGAGTCAAAGACATTATGTTACTGTATGAGACACCGTATTGTGGATGGCTCCTTATAGCCTGGTGGAACACTAGACCAGGGACAGGAGATGGAGTCTGACATTGGCTAAGACCCTTATTAGCTGCCTGTGAACTGGTCCATGTCTCTACCATGAAGTCGGCAAAATTACGTCTAGGTCAGAGAGTCATAGGGTTAAGTTGAAATGGAATTGAAATGGTCACCTTAGCAAAGAAAATAAGCATTTTTTTTTCCTTACAGCAACCAGAACATACAATGTCATTTTCTAAATGTTTCAGATGGAAAACCCAATTGCATGCTGCCACATAGTTATACTAACACTGGAGTAGCTCAAGGGATCTGGTGCAATTCGAAGTAATGCCTTCTCCTGCCTCACATAAACTAAAACAAGACAATCGGCACCAAATAGGCAACCTTGGTTCATCCCCAAGGAACACCTTTGTAATATTAAAATTTATACAAATAATTTTAATAACGAGAACCAGAAATGAAAACCAAACAAAAATCATGAGTGTCCAATTGGCCAATCAGCTTCTAAAAAGGGGAGAGACAGGTGAACATTGTGTGTGCTGGAAAGCAATTCCAAAATAAAACACAAACTTGCCCATTTCTCATTTGATTAGCATTGTTAGTGTCTTCTGGTATTTCAAATTTACAATATTCAGTCTCGTTTTTCTCCAAGCTTGAAAAATACTCAGAAATAAAACTAATCAGTCAAGCAAATCAACACCTTTGCTGGGAGGCCACATCACAAAGAGCAGAACTTATTAAATAAACACAAACTCTACAGAGAAAATAACAGAAACTCCAAATGACAATGCACTATTTCAGTAAAGCACTTACTGAAATGCTTTTCAGAAACATTCCAGATATCCTCTTTAAATGAAACTCTGACTTCTGCAAACTTCAATAAAATATTTTGTCGGTGAAGCAGTGCATATGCAAATACAAAATGTTATGCTCAATTTGTTAAAGGGTTTAGTATCTCTTACGTGATATAAGAAAATATAACTTACTGTTGAATGTGGGACTCTGGAATGTACTGTAGTGGTGAAAATGAATGCGGCTGAATATTCATCTCATTAGTCCTTGCTTCAAACTTTTGATGAAAAAATATAAAATATAAACAGATGCTTAGATGCACAGAGTAAACTGTATCACTCGACAGGCCTTTACACTTTATTTAAGGCCTGTGTTCATGGGCTGCACCCTTTCTTGGCCTGGCCAATCACAGCTGGCTACTGACTAGGACATCATAACCAACAGACACTGATGATTGGACATCCCATTCCCTCTTCAAGGTCTCTGACAAGGACTGACAACGCTAACAATACTGGTTCCATTGACCACAACTCCAGCATTGAAGTGCTGAATAAGTCAGTCATTAGTAGCATCTTTCATGATATGAAGGTTCATTTGTGACTTGCACAATATTTTGCACGTTATTACTCCGTTAGCTCGAGATGACTGTTCATCCTGTCCATTGACAATCACTAGTTGATGCAGTCTCCGATCAAGGCTTCAACAGATGTGGTGCAAGGACAGCCTGGGGAATTTTGCTGTCAGCTCTGATATTACTAAACCTGCTGCAGTGTGGTTTGCAGCAGTGTCATAGACAGGGGTGCTATTAACACAGTTAAAGCTGATTCCATTACACATTCACGGCCTTGTAAATAAAATCCCTTCCTTTCACTCGAATAGTAGCCCGTAAACCAAGGCCAGCCTGTGGTTTTTGCCACAGTATGATTCAGTTACTAAATTAAAGGTGATTCCTGGAGAGAAAGAGAAGCTAAGTCCAAGTTTGCAATTCAATCAGCCCATTTAGGCACTGCACCCTTGGCAGAAAGGGAATCCTTTATCTGACCTGCCCATAATGCAGTTCAGCAGCTGACAATGCCAGCAAAATGCCATGGGCATGACCAAAACGAAGACACTGAGGATTCAGAGCAAATTCTGGGCAGTCCTGTCATCCAGAAAAATTTCCCTAGCCCATACCAGAGTATCATGGTTATTTAAAACTCTCCTGCTACAACCTCACTGATATTCATAACATCTGCAACTATGAACACTTCAAGAGAGAGAGCAAGGCGGAGAGAATGAAACATTGAAATCCTGAACCAACTCCGGTTCAAGCAGCACTCAGACCGATGGCATCACTTGCTCCTTTATCCACACAGAGTGAGATATGTGATAGCTTCAGCTGTTAGGAGACTTCAGAAATTTTTTGTGCAGTTAGAACAGAACAGTGGAACTGAAATGCATGGATTACAGAGAAAGGCTTGTTTAGGTTTTATGGGAAGGCAATGACCTAGTGGTATTATCACTAAACTTTTAATCCAGAAACTCAGCTAATGTCTGGGCACCTGGGTTCAAATCCCGCCATGGCAGTTGGTGGAATTTGAGTTCAATGAACTATCTGGAATCAAGGTTCTAATGATTACCCTGAAACTATTGTCAGGAAAACCCATCCCATTCATTTATGTTATTTAGGGAAGGGTATCTGTCAGTCATCCTTACCTGGTCTGGCCTACATGGTTGACTGTTAACTGCCCTCTGGGCAAGTAGGGAGGGGCAGTAAATGCTGGCCTAGCCAGAGAAGCCCACATCCTAAGTGTGATTTAAAAAAAATCAAACTTTATAAACACAGCCCACAAAACATGTTTAATTTAATAAATAGGAGCGCAAGTGAATAATCTGCATAACTTTTCCTTTTGGTCTATTTTTCAATGTCTTTGTATGCTTCATAGGGAGGTGGGGATGTAGGGATGTAGTGGTATTGTAACTGGACTAGTAATCCACAGGCCTAGGCTAATGCTCAAGGGTCATACATTCAAAACCCACCACTGCAGCTATGAATAAAATGAATAAAAATCTGGAATTCAAAGCTTTTCCAAGCAATGGTGATCATCGATGGAAATCAAGGGGAAAACTCTCTGCTGGCACATAGGAAGATTGGTTGTGATTTTTGAAGGTCAATCCTTCAGCTCCAGGACATCTCTGAGGAGCTCCTCGGGGTAGTGTCCTAGGCCCAACCATCTTCGGCTGCTTTTTCAACTCCAACAACACTCAAAGTCTGGCAACATCCAGGACAAAGCATCTCACTTGATTGGCACCACACCCACAAATATGCAGTCACTTCACTCACAGTGCTCAGAAGTAGCAGTGTGTGCTATCCAGAAGATGCACTGCAGAAATTCACCAAAGATCTTCAACAGCATCTTCCAAACCCAAAACTAATTCCATCTAGAAGGACAAGGGCAGCAGATACATGGGAACACCACTATCTGCAAGTTCCCCTCCAAAACACTCAACATCTTGACTTGGAAATATATCAGCATACCTTCACCGTCACTGGATCCTAGAATTCCTTCCCCAAGGACATGTGGGTCTGTGTGCAACACATGGACTGTAGTGGCTCATGAAGGCAGCTCACAACTATCTGCTCAAGGCAAATAGGGATGGGCAATAAACACTGGCCAACCAGTGACACCCATTGCACAAGCAAATAATAAAAAAAAGAAACCATTGTTGAAGATTTTTGCAACCCATCTGGTTCACTAATGCTCTTTTAAGAGGGAAAAATTGTTTGGCCTACATGTGAATTGAGACCCACGACAATATGACTGACTCTGAACTAGCCTTTGGAATTGTTGAGCAAGCCATTTACTGTAAATAATTAGACTCTAGGAGATGGCAAGGACTGCAGATGCTGAGAGGCAGAGTCGATAAAATGTGGAGCTGGAGAAGCACAGCAGATCAGACAGTATCAGAGGAGCAAGAAAGTCAATGTTTTAGATCTGGACCCTTCCATCAGGACTAGGGAGACGACAGTGTGGTCAGAAATATATGGGGATGGGGTTGGGCTGGGGGATAGGTATTTGGGGTAGTGACAGATGGATGGAGATATGGGGCTATGTCAGGTCAAGGGGGCGGTATGCGAGGCAGGGCTGGATATGGGACATTAGACTCTAGTTAGGTAAGTGATTACAAACCATCAGCATAACCAAACCCTACAAAGGGTCTTGGGAGATAGTGGTAGATATGTATCATAACATGTCTGAACAGGTTGATTAAACATATTAACAACATGACATATTAAAACTCAAATCCCATTATAAACTTTCCTGTGTGTGCGTGCGCACACGTACACAAACACAGAGCAAAAATTAGATTTTGGGTGAGGAAAACTGGCAGATCAGTGGGTTAGAGATAGTAGGAACTGCAGATGCTAGAGAATCTGAGATAACAAGGTGTAGAGCTGGATGAACATAGCAGGCCAAGCAGCATCAGAGGAGCAGGAAGGCTGACGTTTCGGGCCTAGCCCCTTCATCAGAAATGCCGCTTCGGGCCTAGACCCTTCTGGGTTGCTAAGAGGATCTTGTGATTCTTGTTCTAGTCAAAACATTGCTTTTTTTCAGTCATCTTTCTTTAGCCACTTCCACTGGTTTGCAAGAGACTCATGGTGAAGGTTCACCTTATCAGTTGTTGTCTCTGACTTAACAGTTAAAAGTCAGCACCTACATCAACTGTAAGATGAACTGGTTTTCTTCAGGTTTAAAATGGGTTTTAACTGCAGAGAACAGAGAGATAGCTCCTGAGCTGGTGCAGATCCAAACATTTCCCTCTATATCTTGTATCCAACCCCACGCTGTTCAGTTAACTGACAACCAATCACACAGTTATAGTAGGATAAAAAACTTTTGTCATCGATAAGTGATCACTAGTCCATAGGCCAGTCAACTCCTGGTTGCCACCCAGCTGCATCTGTACACAGAACGCCTCAGTTCCAGTTGGTCTGCAGTCACTTCAAATACTGCTTTTTCAATCAGCTTTTTACACAATGCTTGCCATGAGTGTCAGGTCCCTTTTCAAAACGTATAGCAATCCTTTAAAATACTGGATTCCAAACCATTCTTTCTCATTTCAGCCCAGTTTAATAAGCACAATAAAAAGACATGATATTCATAAAATAAAGGAGATATCAGCATAAAACAAAATTCTCTATCATACAAATGCACTTTTTAAGGGAAAAAGGTATGAACTGTCGCTTAAATTTGTTATAACAAAATAAAACCTTTTGGATGCTGGAGATCAGAAACAAACAAATGCTGGAGAAACTCAGCAGGTCTGGAAGCATCATTTAAGAGAAAACAGGGATAATGTTTCAAATCCTTCTTCAGAACCAAAATCTGCTAGTTGCTAAAAATATATTTTAAGTTGCTTAAATTTCACTGTATTTACTGTGTGCTCTCCTCACCTGTCTGGACTCAAGGTCAGGAGGCTGAGGCAGTAGCTACTAAGCAGGTTCCTCTTTGTCACCACGTATGGCTCAGTTCTTGTTAACAGATAAGACAATTCTCAAATGATCATTCCCTCGTACAGTGGGATGCAACAGCTTGTGTTTCACCACTTCCATGGGTGTACATCTGACTGTGCAGAGCAAGACTCAAAGCCTATCTGCCCGTGTTCTGTGCTGCCAAGAATTATAGACCAACCAACCACCACATCCACATTTTCCCTTCATGACATTTTCTATAACAGGTTTGTGACTAACAGGCAAATACCATGTGGGTCACATAATGAGATGGTCACACTCTCGTCTAGCTCTGGTGCAAGGCTGTTTTAATCAGGGACCAGTTTGGTTGCACCACGACTGTTTCTTTTCAATGTATTCCCCTCCACTGAATGAGGCTGGTCATCATGAGTGAATCCAAATACGAATGCTGGGAGGTCTTTCAACTATTGGGAACAATACAGCAGAGTCCAATTTCATCTTTACTCAATATACATTCACTCTTTAAATTCCAGCATTGGCCAAAGGCAACAGACTGGCTGTGGAGTGACAGGCTGACTTTGATGAAGAACTCAATTTCAACACTCAAAAGTAAAATCTTGGCAAATTATAGGTATTAAACCTGACAGCACTGCTAAGAGTAAGTATCATTACACAAGCTGAATAAAACCAGAAAGAGTCACTCATGGTTTAACCCAACTATCCCAATCAGATGTCAGTGTCAATGAAATGTTACAATGTAATATCCATCAGCAGCCCTGTAAACAGTGTTCTGCTACAGAAAGCCACCAGTTACTCTGGGTTTCTGGTTACTACTGGTCACTGTTTTTTGTTGACTATTTAGTTTCTCTTCCATTCAAGAAGGTGAGGAGTCTG